AATATAAAAAGGCATTAAATTTTTTTATTTAAAATAATATATCGTTAGAAAAAAAATAATAATAATAGCATTCAAAATGTACACATCGTACCCGAAACCGACTCTCCGTATATTCCCCCACTACCCACTCCCCCAAACGTTTCAAATTCTCCCATGCATCCTCAGCCGTCCATTCCCAACCCAACTACTCATTTTACACCGTCCATCTCGATTCCCATCTCATTATTTCTCCCCGTTTTCGCCGCTTTTTCCCACGCGGATTCCAAATCCTAGTCAAATTCAATTAATTCCACTCGCCCCTATGCACTCCCACGCGTTCCCCTGGGGAATATCCCTAACTCGCTCTCTCACTTCGCCACCTCATCATACCTTCCGCGAAATTACTATATTGCCATTGAGTGGGAAACAGCGCGAGTTTGACTAAAGTCAAGTCGACACCGTATTTTTAAATTTGTTTAATGTATATATAGCGTGGAAACGACGCTTTCTCGGCCCATATCTCCCTGTGTTCGCCCCCTCTCTCTCTCTCACTCAGTGCGCAGGGCAAAGCACAGAAGTGTTAGAGAACCCTAGAATTCGCCAAGTGCTAGGAAGAAAATGTCTGCGGTGGGCGGCGGTTCCGGTGCCGGACAAGAGGAGGACAAGAAGCCTGGCAGTGATCAGGCTAACCACATCAACCTCAAAGTCAAGGGCCAGGTAGATCACAAAAAAAAAAAACGCTGCAATTCTCTTTTGGATTTCTTTAATTTCATACGAATTCAGGTTTCTACGTTCGTTTTTTCCCATCGATTTCGTTTTCGATTGAATAGTATTTCTTTTCTTTACTGATTTTTTGTTGGGATTTTGAAGTTGATTCGATGAATTTGCGTGTTGTGTTTAGTTCTAGATTTGCTGTTTGTAAGGTTTTGTGATTAGCAAATCAAACAGTTTGTATTTAATGATTATGATTTCTTGTTTGCGTTTAGGATGGGAACGAAGTTTTCTTTAGGATTAAGCGAAGCACGCAGCTGAGGAAGCTTATGATGGCATACTGCGATCGCCAGTCAGTCGACTTCAACGCCATTGCCTTCCTGTTTGATGGACGGAGGCTCCGCGGAGAGCAGACTCCGGATGAGGTAAATAAACATTAATTGTTAATTTTACATGTTGCATGTCATATTCAAGGATTTGGCAGCCTAAGAGTAATAAAATTTGCAATTTTTTCTTTGTAATATTTCGATCTGCCGCTTTCTGTGTGGTTATAATTGATTGAGAAAATTTAACCCATCGAAAATTTTAGGAAATGGTGGAAATTTATTGGATTTGTATGAATTCTGGATTATATTGTAACATTTAAGTACTTGTTAAGCTCTTTACCTAAAAAATGAAGTTGTGATGCTCAGGAAGCTATTTTTAATTTTTTTGGTGGATTTTTTTTAGCTTGAGATGGAGGATGGAGATGAGATCGATGCTATGCTGCACCAGACTGGAGGTGGATATGGGAGTCCTTGATGCAAATTGGACTGCAAGACTATGTTATGGTAGTATGAACTACAGAGGGTAAGGAGGAGAGACTTTTGGTGCTAGGTTTCTTTATTTTGCTTATATTGGTGAAAATGCCTGTAAATTGGATGGCTTTAGTGAGCCTTTTTCAAAACAAAATTGTGGCTTTTTAGTAATAACTATGCTTAGAAATTTCATGTCGTTGACATTGTCATTGTCATTGTCATTGTCATCCCCCCCCTCTGACATTAAACTCTTCATTATGAATGCCGTATTGCACTTCTATTCTGCTTGCCGACACCCTCACATAAATGAATCATGAGATTTGAAAGGCCACTTGCTTGTATTTAAAATGAGTTCTACAAATTGGGTACGCAACTGCATTGTGGATGTAATATTGAACTCCTCAACTGGCTTTCCTAAATATTTGGTTGACATTCCAGGCAGAGAAGCAATACTTAGATGGATGCCCCCAAGGGGGTGAAAAAAAAAAAGCATTAATTGGATTGTAATCTGGGCCTATGATTCAGAATAACTGGGTTGCATGACTGTTGATATTCACCTAAAGTGTGCAGAAATTCTTTAAAAGCTCCTGTAGTTGTTGCATACCCTAAAGTCCCTCTGCTCATCAATAGTATCGACGGGGAAAAGGGATGGGGACTGGCTGTACTAGGAGTGATAGAAGTGTGTACTCCTACCTTCGATAAGTCTCAGGCTGGAAATTGGAGCTTTTTGTAGTTCTTCCAGCTGCAATAGTTCAGAATATAAATAGTAGAAGATTTAGATGGACTTAAATAGGCTTTTTGTGATTTGTATTTCAAAATTTTAGGAATTTTACCTGTTAAAATGGTAGTAGAAGAAATCAGCATAGAGCGATGTCTGAATGAGCCCAGAAATTCAAGCTGCAAAAGACCATTGGAAAACTAACGTAAATGTGCACATTTGGCCACTTGAACAGAAAGCTAGGTCATAAATAGATGTTAGTCTCAAAATGTAAGTTCAATCCAAAAGACATGGCTGGTCATAAATTTGAAGCTTTCTCATACAAATGCCTTCTGGGATGTGAAATATTTCAAACCAGAATGTGAGTCAGTTACAGTCGATTATTAAAGTATGGTGTCAGACAAGCATTATAACTTGTGAGAGTGTGAAATCAAAACAAACAAATCATGTTTTGTCTATTATCCCAGAGGTCCAAAGTAGTATTGCTGGGATTGCAAGTTTCAAAGAATATGATTGGGGGTAGTACCACAGCTTATCAGAGATCCAAAACCAAGAAATTCAGAAATTATGCAACCCGGAAGGTTTTCTAGAAGCTTATCTGGCTGATTCTAATGAACTAAAGATCCACAATGTTTGCAGAAAATAGACTTTCTCGTGCTACAATCATATGGTTCAAAATATAAAGCACTGCAGCAACTTATAAGCATAAAACAAATGCAGCCATTCCATTACATGTGGACCTTTTGTGCACAAATGTGTGTGTGTCATTCAGAAGATAGAGAGAGACTCACGTATCCAGTGGACGGAGTGTGTCTCGGTGAAGTAGCAATAAGTCCAGTTAACTATGTATAATGCTCAGTATGTACTGCATTAAATAAGAAAGAAATTAAGCGTGTAATTTTTTTTTTTTTCTTTCCAAGCTTTAAAACTTTATGCAGACCACAAATTTGTCCATAAGGAACAAAAATATGCACATATAATTAATGTGATTATTAATAATATGAACAAAAATATTATCTGTTCTATAAAAGAGAGAAACATGAATAAAATGTTGTTGCAGATTGGTAATCAAACTGACTTCATGTTTAACGTGAATAAAAACATTAAAGTAGATAAGCAAATTCAAACAACTATTAAGATGAACAAATTGAAGCAGTGTATCTAAGCAACATTAGTTTAAGAAAATTGGGATGGTAAACAATTAGCATACCTAAGAAGAAATACGTATTGCCCTGTCAAGTTGCCTATGTTTCTAGTCGTTTGTAAGAGTACAAGCAGGGGAAGTATGGCAACAGCTTCTAAATACAATGAAAATGCCCACATGACCTGAACCATACAAACAATATAGAAATGCCTACAATCATACCTCCTTAAAGGTGAACTTCTCATGTATAAGAAGGGCCAAAACTAGGCAAGGCAATATGAGGAAATAGTGGCAGAAGGTGTCTTGGTCTCTGTCATAGGACCTTCAAACAATATTATGGCGCCTCATATACCAAACAATTGAAAATGAGCTCCCCATGAATATCAGCTTCGTGATGGTATTGTACAGTGATATAAAATTGGTAAAAATATCCAAATAGAGATCAGCAAAAACAATGGCATATAGTTCTTCTGTCTTAAGAGAAATGCCTGCTAGCAATGCATTGCATCAAAAGCCAAAAACCGAGCACACAACAAAATCATAAAATGCCAAATTGTGTGGTCTAAAAGTGCAACATACTTTCAAAGAAAAGCAAAAGGTGTAAATTTCCCCCCAAAATTGTTGCATTGAAGCAAATCCTCAAAAATGTTGACGCAGTTTGTCACCCCGAATTTCCATTTTCAAGAAGTTACCATTAACTTTCCATTAAACTTCAAGAACAATGGTTTAACGGAAAATTTAAATCAATTTCTTGAAAGTAGAAATTTGGGTTACAAATTGGGTCAGGTAGCGATTTGCTTCAACATTACAATTTTGGGGACAATTTACACATTTAGCCTACCAAGAAATATAGGACAATTCCCCCATGGAAACATGAAGAGAAATTCCCCAGCATATTCTAATTATTCTTAAAAAATTAGATTTCATTCATTGGAAAGGGAAGGATAAAGGTTAAGAGGATACCATACATAAATACACCAAGACGCTCTAATACCTAATTTTCCTCTAAGAATTTCTGGATAAATTTACATATTTGCAGAAGGCAGAACCAATTACAATTCATGTTCCCAACAGCAAGACGATTTACCGGAAAATTACATCTCCATTCAACATTCATATGATTCGAAATTGCGAAAGTGTGTAACATTTTAAGAATCAGAAGTAAACTACCATAATCAAAAACGGAAATGAAAAAGAAGATGAAGGAGGAGAGGCGATTTAAGATTACCGGCGCAGGACTTAATAGTGTGGATCTTGAGGAGTAGGACGAGAATACTGGCGAGGTTAGTCGTGTCGCCGGCTAATCGGAAGATATTCATTTTCTCGCCGGGAATTCAGAACCGAATCGGAGAAAACGAACATACGGTACTCTTCCAATTTGCAGTTTACGGAGACTTGAATATGGTTGAGTTTTATGGGTTAAAATCCTGTTTTAGTCCAGTTGAAAAGGTAAAATAAGAATTATTAATTTTTAAAAAAAAGTACATTTTTGTTAAAAAATTTAAACTTAATAATTTTTATGTTACAGCTGAATTAGAAAATATTCTTCATTAATTTTTTTTATTAACTCATATGTATCCAATAATCATATTGAATTTTGATTAATTGAAAATCGAGTTAAGTCATACCTCATTTAAAGAAAATTCTCCCTATACTTATTTTTTCATTCATAAAATTCAAACTCGATATCTTATTAAAAGAAACTGAATTCTTTCTACTCAAATCAATTGGTTATTAGTAGAAAATATTCTTCATTAATTTTTTTTATTAATTCATCAGTATCCAATAATCACATTGAATTTTGATTAATTAAAAATCGAGTTGCGTCATATCTTATTTGAGGGAAATTGTCCCAGTACTTATTTTTTCATTCATAAAATTAAAATTCAAGATTTTATTTAAGAAAAATCAAATTCTTTCTACTCAGATCAATGGTTATTAGTAGAAAATATTCTTCATTAATAATACTCACTTTGTTTTTCTAATTGTTTCATTTTAGAATTTCATATTTATAAAGACAGCTTAGAGAAAAATTAAAAATGCAATTATTATAAATTAAGATTGCATTTTATCCTTAATAAAAGCTTTTTTCATAGAATAACATAGTTATAATGTTATATGATGTAGCATATTACACAATATAACATGATATTAAATAAATTAATTTATATAATATTACATATGACCTTTTAAATGAAAATAGTTAATCATGTAATGCAAGCTCATATTATACATATCATTGTACATATAACATTATACCTAAATTATTTTCCTCTAAGAAATAAATTTAAAATAAGGATTTTTTTTACTTGTGCCGTATAATAAATACACTTTTGTGGTAAATTTATATTTAAAATAAAAATTAGCATTTAATTTATTAATTATCTAATTATATTTATTCACTTACACCAACACTTAAATTAATGTTAACTTTTTAATTTTTTTTAGATATATTTATGATAAAAATGTGTTCTTAAAAATTCATTACAATAAAAGCATTTAATGCCTCTTATGAAGAAAGTAAATCAACTATACATGAGTTCAACTCTCAATATCCAAAGTAGATCTATTTATCTAATAATTTAAATTATATAATTTAATATAATTTAAATTATATAATAATTTTTTAATAAAAAAAAAATATTAAAAATTAAAAATTAAAAAATAAAACAACTAAATAAGGTACACACTTTCATCCAACAATAATATATGGTTGTTTTTTATTTTTACATTTAAAATTTGAGACTAATTTATGTTTTTAATTATACATTCAAAGAATCCTAGTGCTTTGCAATCCATTAGATGGAGAAGGCTAGCACCCACTATTAAAGGATTTTTTATTATTTAATGATTAATATTTTACGGTTAAATTTATAAAACACATTTTAAATTTCAAGTAAAATAAAATATGATATGTATAAATTTTTTTTTAAAAAAAAAGTGAAGAAGAAGAGGGTGATACCGGGATACCAAAATGTTTTGATATATATATATATGAAAATAGTGTTTATCTGTCTTATCTTTTAAATATTAAAAAAATATTATTTTAAAATTACATTATTTTAATAAACATCTATTGAAAAGACTAAATTATCATATTTTTAAAACATAAATTAAAATATTTTTTATCTTTTTTCCTCCTAATTTTTTAGAATTTAGCCGGACAAACACTAACGTAAATATATATATAAGTATATTCGATTATATACAATATTATTACAAGCTCTTGCATAACGTAAATAAATGGATTTTTTTTTTTTTTTGATCCTTCGCTTTTCTTTGTTACTTACTATGACTAAGCATTAGTCAAACAATTTGTAAGGCATTACAATGCCGGATGATGCTTTTGGGTTCTGCATTATGCATGATCCGCAGCAGTAAGGCCAAGGACACAGGAAGCTCAAGTCAAGCCACTCACGGATGCAATCAGCATGGAAGAGAGACGACAGCAGCAAGCCATCTCTTTCACCATCGTTGATTCCGACAGCTCCTTCTTGCAAAGGTAGCAGTTTTCCGAGAGGTCGATCATGTCTCCCAGTGGTTTTATGTGGCTTGGGATGCAGTTTTCATGGACCACATGGTTCCAAGGCAAGACTTTGAGTTTCGTTGCTTGTGACAGAGGATTCTCACATCTGCTGCACACTTCCGAAAGATCGTACTGTACCAATTCGGCCGGTGAAGTCCAAATCCATGCCATGGTCTCGTCCGAGGAGAAGGCAGAAGGGAGAATGCAATACTACCATGAAAGTAAACGAATTCTAAATTTTTATATTGTGAAGTCACCAAATTCTGTTCTAACTAGAAGTTCAAGGCAGTATAGGATTTTGGGTGCGAAAACCAAAACTTAGAATTTTAGGTGGGTAGGCTAATGTTCAATTTTTTTTGGTACCTTTTTATAATACGGTATATAAAAAATGATAGTTTTTAAAAAAAAAAAAAAAATTGAAATTAGTTTTTGATATTCACCGTATACCCATTTCTATAGAGAAAATATAATAAGGATTGAAAAAAGGGGAAAAAAAAGGAAGAAGAAGAAGAAGTCAAATCGGACAAAATTTTTGCTGCTAAATTTTTTGCTCTATTGTATTAGGTATTGCATTTTTTTTATTAAATTTATTGATGATAAATGGGATGAAACTTGGGGCTAAAATCTAGTATTAATAACGTGACATTTACGTTATTAAAAATATCAAAAGATAAATTTTATATTATTTAATAATTAATTTTTTTTATTTTTTTAAAAATTTATGATATTATATATTAATTAATTTAATAATGTAACATACACTATATTATTGGTTTCAAAATTTTGTCCTCCCTATCATTACTTTTTTCATACTATTAAATTTTATGTTTTATTTTTTATTTTTTTATTTTTTTATCTTGATTGCATAATGAGAGAAAACCATCTCTCATCTCTTATCCTACCCCACTTACATGCAATGTGATTTGAAATCATGATCTCTTACTTCCAGCAAAAAAAGATGACCACTAAACTATTTAGATCATTAGCAATTTTATGTTTTATTTTTTTTTTATCTTGGTTGCATAATGAGAGACAATCATTCCCCATCTCTTATCTTATCCCACTCGCATGTCATTTGACTCGTACTCAAGACCTCTTATTTTCAACGAAATGAGGTAACCACTAAACTACTTAGGTCTTGTCTATGTTTTATTTTTAATTAAACACTGAACAATAATATACACTATTCCCTATATATGGAAAAGTGCTCTGAGAAAAAATTGGAGTTTAAAATTCAAGAATATCACTATCTAATGAATATTTT